CGTGTTCTCTTTCCCTCTCTCTCAAAAACAAACATTTAAAAAACCCCCACAGATTTTAGGAAAGTGAAGGAATCACTTAGCAGGCAGAAGCCGGAGGCCTGAGAAACAGCGTTATCATGAGACTTTTCACAGTGACATCACCACCGGGCTGAAGCGTGCCTTCAGCCCAAGCCCTGGGCACCACAGGCAGAGTTCTCACAAGTTGGAAAGGCCACGGGCTGTCTTTCTGAATGCACTTAATTGCCTGTGATTCACCCCTCAGAGAGGAGCCAGAAAGAGAGATCGTTCCTAACCGGAGTACTATCTGATAACTGGCAGCAACTTGCAGCTACAGTTCCAGGCTGAACACCAGCTCTGGAAGGAACACGCTGTTGTAATGGGGCAAAGTTGCATAAAAGGTGGGTAAAAGCAAAGAGGAAGCACAACCAGCAACCTCAAATTTCCCCAAGCTACAGGAGATTACATTTGTTTAGCACTGCGCAGATTACTACGTCCTTTACATATAACGAGCAATGGATTGCATTTAGCTGTTGGTGCAGAGACCCAACCACAGCTGCTTATATAAACTAGAGGGCTTTTCTTTTACTTAAATAGTGGTCTGAGGACATCCACAAATTCATCAGACTTCCTCCTTTCTGCTCCACTATTCTCGGCATATGGCTTCCTTCCTCAAGGTTACCTCATGGTCAAAGATGGCTGCTGCAGCCCTGGCTACCTTGTTTGAGTTCCAGGCAACAGGAAGGAGGAAGTAGCAAGAGCAAGAGACCAAGCTAAATCACTTCCTTTTAAATAGCTTTCCTGGAAGCCCCACCCAATGACTTCCTCTTATGATTTCATCATCCTCCCTTCCTTGCAAAGGAGGCTGGGAAATGTAGTCCTTAAGCTAGGCACACTGCCCACTTGAATACAATTTAGGCTCTGTTTGCAAAAAATAACTGTGGAATGGATATTGGGAGAGAAGCATGCAGTCTCCAACATGCTTACATTATCCCATTCTGTGCTCAGTTTTGAGACCTTTGGGAGAATCTATAATTTCCCCCACAAGGTCTGAGATTCTCTGACACTTTTTTCTGTGTTATAAACAGACTAGCAGTATTTTTTCTTTCTTTTTCTCGGGGGGGAGGGGAGAGAGAGAGAGAGAGACAGAGAGAGAGACAGAGAGACAGAGAGAGACAGAGAGAGAGAGAATCTTAAGCTGGCTATATCCCATGACCCCGGGTTCATGATCTGAGCTGAAATCAAGAGTCGGATGCTCAATCAACTGAGTCACCCAGGCACCCCAAGACTAGCAGTATTTTCTCTTTTTCTTAAGAAAGGTAGAATTATTTGCCCAAGGTAAGCTGCATTTCATAGCAAGGGGAGGAGAACATATAAGGTTTCAAATCTGTTGAAAATCTTCTGTCACAATTTGTTTTCTGTGTTTCTACAGAAAACAAGAGTTTAGGGAGAAACACGTCCCTTTAATTTACCAAGTGAGGTGAGTTGTGACCACATTTGATCACAGGAAAGGCATGAGAAGGAATCAGAACACATCCCTCCCACACTCCTTCCCCCACCTCCCAGAAGAGCAGATCATTGTTCCCATACACGGTGACTGAAATGTGAGTGGGGGGAGTCACCCGCATCTCCAACAAGCCACCCCACCTTTGGAGTCCAGGACTGCACGGTCAAAGAATCTCACCCTCAGTAGGAAGCTGAGTGCAGCACGGGTACAATCGAGATGTGGTGTTTTAAAGTATATCCCCATTTCTATAGCATGCCTCCCTTCAAAGGTGGAGCCAATCCCCCTGGCCTTCAGCGCGACCCAGAGTTAGTGGCTTGCTTCCATGGAAGAGACTGTACACATGCTGTATGACTTCTGAGGCTAGGTCATAAAAAGGAGAACTTCCTCCTGGCATTCTCCCTCAGCTCACCCCCTCTGGGGGAACCAGATGCCATGTCTTGTAGCAAAAGTGAAATTCAGAAACCAGCTCAAGAGTGTACTTAATAACGCCAACACTGGTGCTAAACTTGAGCAGGCAACGTATTAAAACCCAAAAAGGACTGCCTTTTTTTAAATGTATGTGCGGTGAAATGTTAAGTAAAAGATGTTTGATTTTATCTTATTTTTATTGACCTCTTGTGCTCACAATGTTATTTGACTTTTCTCATGTCTTTTGACTCATGCCCTTCATTCTAACTTTGAGCTTTCCTGGCAGTAATTGATCTATGAGGCCGCGTGTATGGCCTACTGTGATGAATGCACGCATCATGTATCACGAGAAGCTGTGGGTATCACCCATTCTCTTGACGTTGCTGTGTGGTAGTCCAAGAGAGAAGGAAAAAGATGGGCTTCCATTCCAGTTTTAATTCAATCACATGGGGGCGCCTGGGTGGCTCAGTCAGTTGAACGTCCGACTTCGGCTCAGGTCACAATCTCGTGGTTCATGAGTTCGAGCCCCGCGTCGGGCTCTGTGCTGACAGCTCAGAGCCTGGAGCCTGCTTCAGATTCTGTGTCCCCCACTCTCTCTGCCCCACCCCTGCTTGTGCTCTCTCTGTGTCTTTCAAAAATGAATAAACATAAAAAAAATTTTAATTCAATCATGTGAACAAATAATCTTGGGAGTGTGGAAAGCCTTTCTAAGCCTGATGCAAAACTCAGGAGCTATAAATTCAAAGACTGAACTCTTTAAAAAAATTTTCAAAGCAAGAAAAATGGAAAAGGATAAACGAAACAGAAAGCCAATGACAACCTGGGAAACTAGACTAGTCAAAGTACAGCCATAAGGAGATAACGTTTTTTCATTTCTTTGATCAGCGAAGTGCAGAGTTTTTGGTTTTTTTTTAATACCATTAGTAAGACTATGGAAAAATGGCACACATGTATTTATGGGAGCCAGTGCCAATTGCTCTGCCTTTCTTATAAAATTTTTTTTTTCAACGTTTATTTATTTTTGGGACAGAGAGAGACAGAGCATGAACGGGGGAGGGGCAGAGAGAGAGGGAGACACAGAATCGGAAACAGGCTCCAGGCTCTGAGCCATCAGCCCAGAGCCTGACGCGGGGCTCGAACTCACAGACCGCGAGATCGTGACCTGGCTGAAGTCGGACACTTAACCGACTGCGCCACCCAGGCGCCCCTGCTCTGCCTTTCTAAAGCACATTTTCTTTTTCTTTTTTTGTATTTTTTTTATGTATATTTATTTAAAAAAAATTTTTTTTTCAACGTTTTCTATTTATTTTTGGGACAGAGAGAGACAGAGCATGAACGGGGGAGGGGCAGAGAGAGAGGGAGACACAGAATCGGAAGCAGGCTCCAGGCTCTGAGCCATCAGCCCAGAGCCCGACGCGGGGCTGGAACCTAAGGACTGCGAGATCGTGACCTGGCTGAAGTCAGACGCTTAACCGACTGCGCCACCTAGGCGCCCCTATGTATATTCATTTTTGAGAGAGACAGAGCCTGACATGGGGCTTGATTCCATGAACCATGAAATCACGACCTGAGCCAAAGTCAGGAGTCTGCTGCTCAACTGAGTGAGCCACCCAGGAGTCCCTTTCAGAATATTTTAAAAGGATTTATGTACTGACAAGGAATGGTGTCAAACTATGTTAAGAGAAAGAAGAGTGTGATAGTACTCATAAAATGATCGCGTGTTTTTCCTTAAAGGGGGGACATACATGTGTATAGTTACATACACACATACACAAGGACACCATCTCCAAAGGTTACATGTTAACTCTTGAGTACAGGATTGAGACACATGCCAGACAAGGTAGGTGGAATAACTTTTCACTTCTTACTTTCTGTTCTTCTGTGCAATTGGAATTCTTCCATTGAAACAAGGAGTACTTGTTAGGACCAGTGAATACAGAATATGGTGCTCTTACAGGGGATTCTACCTCATGGAATGTATAGGAAAGGAGGAATTAAAGGATGGCCAAGATGGGTTAGTTGTACAGAGACCCTGAGTACGTGTTCCTATAGTACTAAAACACTGAAAACAGCCAAAATGCTTTGTGGTGATGAACTGATACATTATGATGGGCCTATACCATGGGGTACTATGTGACTGTTAATAAGAAGTAAGCAGGTGACTACCGTTGACCTTTAAGGAACATGGGTTTGAACTGCGTTGGTCCACTTATATGCAAATTTTTTTCAGTCAATACAGTACAGGTCTGTGAATGTATTTATTCTTCCTTGTAATGTTCTTAGTCACATTTTCTTCTCTCTAGCTTCCTTTATTGTAAGAACACAGTATATAATACATACATAGCATACAACCTACATGTTAGCCAACTGTATATGTTATGATGGATGAGGCTTCCAATCAATAGAAAGCTATCAGTAGTTAAGTTTCAGGGGTGTACAAAGTCACATGGATTTTCAACTGTGCGTGGGGTCATACCCTTAACCTCCACATCGTTCAAGGGTCAACGTATATTGTTGGCATGGAAAAGATGTCCAAGATATATTACAAAATGGAAAATAAAAGGTCAGTTTCATAACAAGCTGTGTAATATATCTTTTGTGTTTAAAAGTGTTTACATATAGGGGTGCCTGTGTGGCTCAGTCAGTTAAGCATCCGACTTTGGTTCAGGTGATGATCTCGAGGTTTGCTCGAGCCCTGCATCGGGCTATGTGCTGACAGGTCAGAGCGTGGAGCCTGCTTCAGATTCTGTGTCTCCGTCTCTCTCTGCCCCTCACCCACTCACGCTCTCTCTCTCAAAAATAAATGAATGTTGGGGCGCCTGGGTGGCTCAGTCGGTTAAGCAGCCGACTTCGGCTCAGGTCATGATCTCGCAATCCGTGAGTTCGAGCCCCGCGTCGGGCTCTGTGCTGACAGCTCAGAGCCTGGAGCCTGTTTCAGATTCAGTGTCTCCCTCTCTCTCTGCCCCTCCCCCGTTCATGCTCTGTCTCTCTCTGTCTCAAAAATAAATAAACGTTAAAAAAAAATTAAAAAAAAAATAAATGAATGTTAAAAAAAAAACTTAAAAAAAAAGTCTTTATGTATACATACCTAAAAGTCTGGAAGGTGTTAAAAATCAAAGTGCAGTGGCACCTGGCTGCCCTAGTCTGTGGAACATGTGATTCTTGATCTTGGGGTCCTGAGTTCTAGCCCCACGTTGGGCATGGAGCCTATGGAAAAAAAAAAAAAGAAGAAAGTACACATTAACTCACATTTTCTTCAGTCATCAAATGCTACTTACTTTAAATGGATGTGGGGGCGCCTGGGTGGCGCAGTCGGTTAAGTGTCCGACTTCAGCCAGGTCATGATCTCGCGGTCCGTGAGTTCGAGCCCCGCGTCGGGCTCTGGGCTGATGGCTCAGAGCCTGGAGCCTGTTTCCGATTCTGTGTCTACCTCTCTCTCTGCCCCTCCCCCGTTCATGCTCTGTCTCTCTCTGTCCCAAAAATAAATAAACGTTGAAAAAAAAATTAAAAAAAAAAAAAGCATTTCACATATTTAAAAAAAAAAAAAAACAATGGATGTGAAGTTTCCAGAATTTAGCTGAGAGATGTCACATGCACTGTGGCTCCTATAAACCTCCCAATTCCAAGGTTGGAGGCTAATCCAGGATCACTTTCTCAGGCCCCTTGAGGACTAATTTTTTTTTTTTTTTTTTTTTTTAGTGCCAGTCTTTATTGAGTAATTTCGTGGATGTGTGAGGAACTCAGTTCTTTTCTCATTTATTCTCATTGAATCTTGAAAACAAACCTCAGGAATTTGTTATCATCTCCATTTTTGATGCTCAAAGAGTCTTACTAATGTGCCCAAGGTCACTCAGACAGGAAGTGCCTATAAAGTTATTTAGAAAGCCAAACTAGATGGCACTATCTCATCAATAGAAAAAAAATGTGGTTCAAGTCAAACTAGATTATTACTGGTTTTGTAAGCCTTTTCCATGTCTGTGCCTTTCTTTTTATTTTATTATTATTTTTTTAATGTTTGTTTATTTTTGAGAAAGACAGAGACAGAGTGTGAATGGGGGAGGGGCAGAGAGCAAGGAAGACAGAATCTGGGACAGGCTCCAGGCTCTGAGCTGTTAGCACAGAGCCCGACGCGGGGCTTGAACCCACAAACCGTGAGATCATGACCTGGGCTGAAGTCGGACGCTTAACCAACTGAGCCACCCAGGCGCCCCTTTATTTAATTTAATTTAATTTAATTAAAAAAAATTTTTTTTAACGTTTTATTTTTGAGACAGAGAGAGACAGAGCATGAATGGGGGGAGGGTCAGAGAGAGAGGTTGACACAGAATCAGAAGCAGGCTCCAGGTTCTGAGCTGTCAGCACAGAGCCTGACGCAGGGCTCGAACTCACGGACTGCGAGATCACGACCTGAGCCGAAGTCAGACGGTTAACCAACGGAGTCACCCAAGCGCCCCATCCCTTTATTTTATTTTTTAATGTTTATTTATTTTGTTTAAAAAAATTTTTTTTTTTAGCGTTTATTTATTTTTGAGACAGAGAGAGACAGAACATGAACGGGGGAGGGGCAGAGAGAGAGGGAGACACAGAATCGGAAGCAGGCTCCAGGCTCTCAGCCATCAGCCCAGAGCCCGACGCGGGGCTCGAACTCACGGACTGTGAGATCATGACCTGAGCTGAAGTCGGACGCCCAACCGACTCAGCCACCCAGGTGCCCCTAATGTTTATTTATTTTGGACAGAGACGGAGTATGAGCAGGGGAGGGGAAGAGAGAGAGAGAGGGAGACACAAAATCTGAAGCAGGCTCCAGGCTCTGATCTGTCAGCACAGAGCCTGATGTGGGGCTTGAGCCCATAAGCTGTGAGACCATGGCCTGTGCTGAAGTCAGACTCTTAACCAACTGAGCCACCCAGGTGCTTCGTATCTCTGTGCCTTTCAACTTATGTGTCCCAGTGCTCTGAGGGGCCTCTGCCTTCCAGGAGCCTTGGCTGTGCTTCATGGTCTAGCAGTGCTTCCCCCCCCCCCCCCAGGAAGTCCTCTGAAATTCCACCCCTGGGAAATACCCATTTATCCTCCTTACAAATCTAACTTTCCGCCATCATAGCATAGGCCATATACTGTTTTTACAGTAGCCACAGGTGAGCCTCATCCCACAGCCCTTGCAGGTTGGCTATGAGCACCCAGCAGGTATTGACGTGTAATAATGCTGCTTAGGTTTTATAAACAGAAGTTTAGAATGAAACTGACCAATAGCTTGGGTCTCCAGAGTCATCTCTGTGTGTCTGGGGGTAGGGAGGGGGAGGAAGAGAGGAAGAGAGAGAGAACACTCATTTAAGACCTTGGCAAGTCTCAGAAAAATCTCTATGAAAATACCCTCAAATTAAACATTTTTTGCCACACAGGCGCCTGGGTGGCTCAGTCGGTTAAGTGCCCAACTTTGGCTCAGGTCATGATCTCGGGGTTTGTGGGTTCGAGCCCTGTGTAGGGCTGTGGTGACAGCTCAGAGCCTGGAGCCTACTTTGGATTCTATGCCTCCCTCTCTCTGCCCCTCCCCTGCTCCTGCTTTGTCTCTCTCCGTCTCGCAAAAAATACGTTAAAAAAAATTTCTTTGCCATAAAAATAACAGATTTTCAGATGTTTTTCTATTGTAATCATTGAAAAAATTCTTTTAATATTACAGAATCAACAGATAGTTTTTGCTGTGCTTGTGCAAAAGAGGTAAGCCCCAGGCTGTGTGCCTCTGATAGTGGATGGACAAAATGCATTCATGGCCTGCTGCTCCCACTCTGGCTGCCTGAAAACTTGGGGTTCCCCTCTAACACCCACTTTTGCCTGGCATGTACTTTCTGCGTGGCCTCCAACCCCCTTTCTTCCTAAACCTTACCTATCTTTTTAAAGATTCAACCAGGAAGAAGACTGCCAAGATTCTGACCTTGAAGAAGTTACTTTTTGGAGACAGCAGTCCTGTAAGAAAACACATCAATAGTAGATCATTTCATGTAGTGATACGGGGTATGAAACAGTAAAACCAGGCAATAGGAGAGTAGAGGGCTCTACTTTAACAAGGCTGCTATGACAAGAGCTCTGTGCTTACAGGCCGTTTGAGCTGAGCCTTGAGAACTGAGGGGCGGGGGGAGGGGGAAGAGTCCAGAGAGCGTGTACCATGACAGCCAAGGCCCTGTGGCAGAAAAGAGCTTAGTGTCCTGGGGAAACATAAAGAAGGCCAGTGTGAATGGGCAGCACAAGACAAGCAGGGGATGGTGTCAGGTGAAAATAAAGGAGGCGGACCCATATCCTGTAGGTCAAAGTGAGGAGGGTGCGCGAGGTGGCAGCTAGTGGGGGATGGTGGCCTGGCCGACTTCTCCAGCATTGGGTGGCTCCTGACCCTGACGCCGGAGTCTGGGGTGGCGGGTTTGCCTCTGTGCGGTCATCGCCCGTTTGCGTGGCTGCTTCTACTGGGGTGCCCCGGGGTCGCAGGGGCAACAGGGTCACCGCGCCGCGCGGGTTAACTGGAGGCCGCGCCGTCCACTCGGCGCGGCCACGCGGGTTCCGGCCGCAGGAGGCGGGGGCTGGCGCGTGACGCAGGCTGCCCGCACTTGGCCCCGCAGCCTGCTTGTCGGGACAGGTGCGGGGCCGCCACCCACCCCGGCTTGGGCTCCCCGTCCCGCGCTCCGTTGCGCTGGCGGCCTCCAGGGTGGACTGGCGGCCGCGACACGGGACGCTGTCCCCGAAGACCAGCCCGCTGGCCTTAACACTTGCGAGTTTTTCTTCGAGCTCGGAGGCCCAAATTGCCCGTGAGAGAAATGGGACACTGAAATAAACAGATGGGGGAGCACTCTGCCAAGCTGGACACAAGTTGGGCGTTTCCTTCTCTTTCTCCACGTCCCTCCTCCCCTTTGGAAGCCCAAAGGGCTGGAGCAGGCTGGCTGCCACCCCCGACACCCCAGCGACTCCGAGGTGCGGAGGCCCGACTTACTTTTGCTTCCCCTCAGGCCGGGAAGCGCCTGAAAACCCCCGCGGGGCGCGGTCGCTAGGGCGGGTCACGTGACCCCGACTCGACGCCCCGCGTGGTGGTTGTGCCCAGCGGCGAGCAAGCGAGTGCGCATGCGTACCTTTTATCTCACCCCACCCCACCCCCGGTTGGCTTGGACGCAACCACTGTCAGCTCCTCCCCCTCCTCCTCCATCCTTCCTGACATATACTCCCTTTCCCCCGCCCATTGGTTACGTCAGGCAGACAGGCCGGAGAACCAATCACGGAGCTGTATTCAGAGGCCGGCACGCGGAACCGGTCGGATCGGGCCAATGGGGGTCCTCGAAGCGGGCGCGCCCCAACCGGGCCGGAGAGCTGAAGCCGAGTGGGCGGTGCTTCCCCTGTCAGCATGTGGGCGGGGGAGGGCGGAGACCAGCAGCCGCAGAGGCGTCGACGGCGGCGGCGACGACGACGTTCCTCAGTTTTCGGGGTGGGCTCGGCGGCGTAGGCCGGGCTGTGCGGCGGGCTAGGCGATCAGCGGCGGCGGCCTTAGGAGGGCCGCGGCGCCATGGGCGGGCGGTAGACGGGTTCGGGCCGGCGACGCGAGGTGCGGCGGCAGTCGTCTGGGCCGCGGCGACCTTCCGCGAAGCCCGGGGGTGGGGAGGCCCGGGGCGGGGGTCGTCCCGGGCTGCGTGGGGCTTTGGGGCGGGGCTCGCAGGCCGTCGGGGTGCAGGAGGTCTGGGGCGCCGCGAGGAGCCGCCGCCGGTCGCTGGGCCCCGTCGCCGGGCCGCTCGACGACGACGCTCCCGCGTGGGCCCCATCTGAGGAGGACGCGGCGGCGGCGGCGAGGCCGCGGGAGGCCGCGGAGGATGGAGGAGCGGAAGGAGGAGGGCGAGGCCGAGATCCAGGAGCACGGGCCCGAGCACTGGTTCTCCAAGTGGGAGCGGCAGTGCCTGGCCGAGGCCGAGCAGGACGAGCAGCTGCCCCCTGAGCTGCAGGAGGAGGCGGCGGCCGCCGCGCAGCCCGAGCACAAGCAGCAGAAGCTGTGGCACCTCTTCCAGAACTCGGCCACCGCCGTGGCCCAGCTCTACATTGGTGA